CAGTTCCTCAGAGTGGGCATAGATCCCCTCCCAGTTCCTCTTCAGTGGGCATACAGCCCCTCTCAGTCTGCCTGGCAGTGGGCATACAGCACCTCTCACTTCCCCTGGAAGTGAGCATAAAGCCCCTCTCAGTTTCTCAGCACGATGCATACAACCCCTCTAAGTCCCTCAGCAGTGGGCACACAGCCCCTCTCATTTCCCCCGGCAGTTGGCCTAAAACTACTCTCAGTTCCCCCTGTAGTGGGCATGCAGCCCCACTCAGTTCCCCTGGCGGCGGGCATACAACCTCTCTCTGTTCAGCCGGCGGGGGGCTTATAGCCCCTCTAAGATCCTCAGCGTGGGCATAGAGTCCCTCCCAGTTCCTCTTCAGTGGGCATACAGCCCTCTCCATTTGCCTGGCAGTGAGCATAAAGCCCCTCTCAGTCCCTCCAGCGGAGGGCCTACAGCCTTTTTCCCTTCCTCAGCAGTGGGCATACAGCCCCTCTCACTTCCTCTGGAAGTGAGCATAAAGCTCCCCTCAGTTTCTCAGCACGACACATGCAGCCCCTCTAAGTCCCCCAGCAGTGGGCATAGAGCCCCTTAAGTTTCTCAGCAATGGGTATACAGTCCCTCTCAGTCCCTCCAGTGGAGGCCCTACAGCCCTTTTCCCATCCTCAGCAGTGGGCATACAGCGCCGCTCACTTCCCCTGGAAGTGAGCATAAAGCCTCCCTCAGCAGTGGTCATACAGCCCTTATCAGTTCCCCGGCAGTGGACATAGGGCCCCTTCAGTTTCTCAGCAATGGGTATACAGTCCCTCTCAGTCCCCCCGGCAGTGGGTATAGAGCCTCTCTGAGTTCAGCAGCAGTGGGCATATAGAGCCGCTTAGTTCACCCGACAGTGGGCATGCAGCCCCTCTCAGTTCCCCCGGCTGTGGGCATGCAGCTCCTCTCAGTTCCCCTGGAAGTGGGCATACAGCCCCTTTTAGTTACCCCAGAAGTGGGCATACAGCCCCCTCAGTTTCCTGGTAGTGGCTATATGGCCCCTCTCAGTTCCCCCAGCAGTGGCTATATAGCCACACTCAGTTCCTCAGCAGCAGAACAGATCCCCTCTCCATTCCCCCAGCAGGGGGCATACAGCCCCTCCCAGTCCCTCTGGCGGTGGGCATACAGCCCTTTTCTGTTCCTTAGTAGTGGGCATACAGCCCCTCTCA